TTTTTTTTTGATAACTCCTCCTATAGCTACCACTTAGAAAGAAAGCCTTGCCATGTTCATCCAGGCTCTGCTTGATGTAAAACTTCCCATCTCTTGAGGGAGTTCTTTGGGACTTGTGGCCGTTTTTTAAAAAATTTGTTTTAAGGAAGAACTACCAATGTCCCTCTTATTCTTGTTTTTATTTTTGAAAGACAAGATGAGCTGTTTTGAAGACTGAAATCAAGTTCCAGGAGCCCGTCCTTTTCCCAGTGAAATGGTTTTAGCTTCTACAAGGGTTTCCCTTGGGATAAGCTTCTTTGAAGGTGCTGGTTTGCCTCAAAACAAACAAAAATAATTCCTCACTGCCAATGAGTTAACGCGGAATCATAGTGACCCTATAGGACAGAGTAGAAATGTCCCTGTGAGTTTCCAAGACTGTTAACTCTTTATGGTAGTAGAAAGCCCCGCCTTTCTCCCATTGAGTAGCTGGTGGTTTCAATCTGCTGACCTTGTGAATTGCAGCTGAAAGCGTAACCACTACACCACCAGTACTAGATCCCTCTTAAGGTATGCTGCCAGGAAATGCCCTGCCCCTGAGTTCTAGTGGAATTGGATCATGTCCAGCAATGGTCACTTCCATCATTCTCTACATTCTGTTCCTCCTTCTGCAGCCAAGCTAGAATAAGCTTATTTAAGAGCATCCCATTCTTCCCTTTTGTGAGTATCCTGGCACATGCATAGTGCTGCTGTGCTGGAATAAGTGCGAAAGATTCCGCACAGTCCTGCAGAGCGTGGATCTCTCTACAGAGATAGGTTGGGGTCCTGGAGAGGAAGTCAGATGTGGAGCTAGAAGGGTAATTAAGAAGGGAAGATTTAGAATAGATAATATTCTTTGAGACTGGATCTCCACCTAGGTAGAAGAAAGGGAGATTTGAACATTTTCTCTAGTTTCTTTTACTCCTAAGCTTTCCACGTATCCTAAGAGATAGTTAATCTGAGACTCGAAAGTTGTGTGGACAGTTTTACCAGCCAACATCTTGAGTAGTAAATTCTTTTTCCCAAGGATTCTATTCAACAGCAGCTTCTAACTGCATACAGTAAGGAAGACGTGGAGGCAATAGAAATGGTTCAAAGAATTACAGATGTCATTGCTTTGTGGGTTGTGATAGTGGGGTGGCCACCCTCCAAGATGGCTCCCTGTGATTCTTACCTCTTAGTATTCAGGCCCTGAGGCTGAACTGAACAATCAATAGGACCATGAAGAAATGGTGACGCGTTACTTCTGAGTCTAGGTCACAAACACTGTGGCTTCTGCCTTGCATTCTGAATCACTTTATCTGGAGGAATTCCACTTCCAAATCATGAAAACACTCCAACAGTCCTGTGGAGAGGTCTGGGTGGTGAGAAACTGCAGCTCAAAGCTAGCAATGGCATTCCAGCCGCATGAGTGAGACATCTTGGGAAAGGACCCTGAAGTCCTGGGCAAGCCTTCTGATCACTCTAGTTCTGGGAGACAGCTTCAGAACCGCCCAGGTAAGCTGCTCCTGAATTTCTGACCCACAGATACTGTGAGATAATTCTTATGGCTCTTTAAGTAACTAAGCTACTGAGTTTAAAGCATTGAAGTAATTTCTTATGCAGCACTGAAAAACTGATAGAGTTGGGGTAGAAAGGAGGAATGAGTAAAGGCCCCTCTCACCAAACCTGGACTTGACCTGGCCCCTAAGAGTAGAAGCAGCACTGGCTTCATGCTTGCCTTTGGACACTGCTGACAACTACATAAGGAGTCCTAGTCGGGCAGGGGGTTCGGCTAGTACCAGCTGCGTCCCAGGAGTCTTTCTGTAAAGATTTACAGCCTTGGAAACTCTATGAAGCAGTGCTGGTCTGTTCTATAGGCTCGCTATGAGTCACAAGGCACTTGACAACAGTGTGTTTGGTTTGCTGGTTTGGTGACAACTATATTGACCAGAAGCTGACAAGAAGGGCACGGTGCCTCTTCTCCTTTTCCTCTCCCTACCCCTCTCTTTACTTTTAGAGGAGGACTAGATAGCACGGGGAGTTACACACAAGTTGCTTTTTAACTCTTCCGAGACTCCAGGGAAAGGCTATGTTAGATTTGATCCATTATGTTAAATTTGATGTTTGAGAATGGGTATTCGATCTTATTTATTTTTATCCTCTCCAGCTAGCAAGTCAGCAATGAAAGGTTTCCAGAGGGCAAGCTTCCCTCCTGAATTCTGGAGAGATTTCTTTCATAGGCTCCTCTTCTTATCTTTCTAGTCACAATTATCATTGGACATGCCATCAGTCAGTCACCTTCACTGTTAAGATCCCATCCATCTATTTAAGCACCTTACTTTGGGGAGCCTGCCCTTTCATTTGCCCACCCCATTTCCTTTATGTATTGTTGCTTTAACTGTTGCTCAAGCTTCCAGGATGCTTGACCCAGAATTGCATAGAGCGCTCTTGCTAATATACCAACACATCACTGTCAAGTCGTTTAAATCCCAGTGGAAAGAACCCCAGACTGGAGCTAAGATACCTAAGTTTCGGGGCTGTTCTGTTACACATTATCTTATCTGGGTACCTCAGTTTATCTTGAATTGAGCAAGTCGGCTTAGATGAGCTCTGAGGGTTAGAGTACAAGTTAAGCTTCCGAAATGCAATCGACAAGTGAAACTCTGTGGTCAGCATTCAACTGGGTGGCTGTTAGGGTTACAATCTGAAATTCCCCGGATTTCCCTTTATTTTTCACGGATGCAGTCTCCACGAAGGGCCTTCGGGTTTGCTAGGAAGAACAGGAGACAGGCGCTCCGAATGTCCAGTTCTGGGTGACCTTGGGCAAATCCTTTTGTCCCAGAGGGAGGCGGGAGGTTCCTATTATCTACATACTAGAAGGCGTGGGCAACGACTTGGAGAGCTTTCGGCGAATTCCATGTCACAAACGG